GGTCGTGGCTGGAGAGGCCGTAAGTGCAGACCTGAGTGTCCTTCCCCACCCCCGCCGGACCGCTGGGACTCTATGTGGTCGCGTCTCCTCTCCCCACCGTCAAACACCTGCCCATGAGGACGGGAGCCCCTTCTGCCTTCCAGACCACCTTGCAAGATCTGGATGCTGATGACCCATTTGATGGCTCTGGGGCCTCTGGCTAAGCATGCAGGACAGTGCGTTTTCTCCCTTGGTTCTTCCCAGGTACTTAATTCCAGTGTCAGCTGCCAGAACAGCTGGTGCTGGCCCAGAGAATCCCAGCAACTGCCTTCAGGCCCCAGAGGCTCCCAGCTGGGTTCCACCTGCAAGGCCTAGCCCGTGTTCTTTGGCCCCGGAGCAGCAGTGAAGATCTTGGTGCGAATCTGTGCTGCTTGGCAGGTCCTTTCCCCCCTTGGTCATCCCAGCATACTTGGCTAGTCCCTGCCAGGTGAGCAGGGGGTGACCCTGAGCCGGTGGAGCGGTCGCTCGTCACTGTCACCCGCGATCCTGGCCGGCCCAGCGCAGGTGTTCGAGGGCTGTGGTGTAGGGATGGATGCTTCAGCAAAATCTGGTCAGCTGTCAAAAGAGGCCTCTGGCTGTTGGTCAGACATGATTATTATGGCCACTTTGCTTTGGGGTAAAACTGCTTCATTTGTGAAATCTTGAAACCGCAAAATCAAAAAAGTCCCCGGCAGGTTGGTTCTTAAGTTGGCAATCAACAGAAACCAACTCCGATCTTCAAAAACAAGGCAGAGTTCTGTAGGAAGCATGTCAGCTGAACCTCACACAGCGTCCAGGAAAGCCAGAAAATGGGTCTCAGACACCACAGGGCCGCGTCATGTGGCGGGATCAGCCCGTTTCCCCCTCAGTCACTCTGCTTAGGGACGCCTGTCCCGTTAGGCCGACTGCAGCCCTGTCAGCCTGTGTCGCCCAGGGAAGAAGCAGCTCCTGAGAAATCTGGTGCTGCTCAGATAAGGTGGCATCGAGGTTGGTTGACCAGAGAGCTGCCGGTGTCCTCCCTGGGGACCTCCCTTTCCTCCCTCAGAATCCATGGGGCCTATGGACTTGTCTTCCCCTGGACCATCGGCCACTCCCAGCAGAACTCTAGCAACGCGGCCTGGTGTCATCTTTGTTTTCCACTGGATGTCTAATTTCACAGTTGATGTGCAGTTCCAGCTGTGAGTAATACGGGGCCCAAGGACGGCCATGGGAGCTGGCCTCGAGCTGAGGCACTGCGTCCCTGAGGGCGAGCCGGCCCTGCTTGTGCAGAGGTGAGCCTGAAACCAGCAAGTAATTGACGCCAGGGGAGTCGAAGTGGCCCTGCATACAGAGTCAGTGCTGGGCAAGTGGTTGGAAGGGATGTGCTGATAGATTTTTTTTTTTTCTGTGATGTGTCCAATGGCAGCTGGAATTGTCCTGAAATAGAAGGCAAGTTTGCGGAAAGGGAGTAGTCGCTTTGACTAGGGGGCCACCAGGACCTTCGGCCCCTCATCATCAGCAGGTGTTTCCTCGGGCTGTTTTGGGTCCCTGGGGCCATGTGAGGTGGCTCTCGTCGTTCCCTGTTGTCCCTTGGTGTGGTCTGTGGTCACCCTTGGCTCTGTCTCCCTGTAAGTAAGATGGGAACAAGAGTAACACAGCGGGCTTCTGAATGTCAGTCTCGGTGTTTGAGCAGTGTCTAGTGATTGCTACCCTAGCTTTTGGTCGCAGACCTCAGTTTTTAGTCCGTTCTTGTTAAAGATATTTGTGCCTTGGCTTTCTCCCCCAAAGTCCCTTAAATGGTTATTTACAGTAACATGTCGGTTGCATCCTAATACACTAAAAATTACTCCAATTGTCAGAAGCCCTGAGGGATGCATCGGTTGATGTGAGGCGAGATAGAAAGTCTGTTTACAACTTCACCTCCCTGGCGTTTCCTGGGGTCTTGTGGGAACCTCTGCCCCAACTTCTGCAAGACTGTAGGGACAGCAGGTGCTGGGCGGGGTGTGGCTTGAATTTCACTGGATTCTCTGGTGTGCCGGTAGACGAGCCTTCTGGGCCTGGGGGGGCATGTATGGCGCGGTCCCTTTGTCAAAAGCGAACCTCAGCAATGCCTTGGCTGAGCTTTCTCTCATCCTCAGTACTGGGGTTTCGTGCGGCCCCCTACACCTCGTGCAGGACACACGGGAATCTCACCACTCCCACCACCCACGCAGCTGTCCGTGCTCAGCATCCATCCCCAGCAGAACCCCCTGTGCCTCTCCCTTTCCTGCTTTCCCATACATGGCTTGCAGCCCGTATCTGAGGCCGGGGCCTCATCTGGGAGCCCCTGGCTCTCACGGACGAGCCTCAGCTGCATTCTGCATGCCCAGCCTGAACGAGGGCAAAGGGTGGGTTTCGCCAAAGAGGAGGCGACCCAAGCCAGGGAGGGGGGCGATCGCTAGGCAACCTGGAGCTTGTTGCCCAGGTAACGCCATCCATGCACTGATGCTGTGGATGGACATCTTGTGATGAGGCCCCTCAGCCTCTCCAGATGTCTTGGATGGCTCTAGATGCCTGCCTTGTGCCTGCCCATCATTTTCCTCTGTGGTTGCTTTTTAATTAACAAGTTGGATTTCTTACCATGATCACGAACTGTGCGAACGCTGTCTGATTAACACTCTTGCCATCACATTTGGAGTCAAGTCAGGATGTTCTGTACCCTGTAGGAGGGACAGCCTGGGACAGGTGGGTAAATCTGCCCCCATAGTCCAAGACCACCAGTCCCATGGGAGCCTGACCTGGGCTTGGCAGCAGCTGTGGGGAGGCACAGAAGAATCTGGTGGAAGAAGACGGGCCCTTCGGGATTTGGTCAAAGTCTCACCCTTTTCTTGGCCAAAAGGAAGGGCCGAGGTGGGAGCTTTAATGTGTGCCCATAAGGTTGCCCCCCCCCCTTCAGCTGCCTACTCCAGGGGGCACTTCCCACTCTGTGCCTCGGGGTCCTCATCTATTAAAATGGATGGGGATGAAATGGGAGGCTATAGGCAACCATGTGAATTACCGTCCCTCACTTCCCTCTGCAGAGTTCAGGGGTAAAAGGCGGTGGGTCTCCAGGGGTCCTGACTCAACGGCACCCTTGGTCTTTGGGGAAGTCTCTCCATTCACACACACCCACCTTGACCCCCTTGTGGAGCCCGCCTGCCAATTAGGCCAAAAGAACGCTAGCAGAGGGCTCACCAGGCCCCAACAAATAGCCTTGGAGCCCCCGTTTTCCCACCTGGTACAGAGGATGTTTGGGGCTCGGCTTCACTTGGACGTCCTGCTTTGGGGATCCAGGCTCTGGGTTCGGCAGTGGTTTTGTTGCCACTCAGAGGCTGGGAGGGACTGATCCCTCATGAGTCCCAGCTCAGGATGGAGCTGCCCCGAGGAAACCTGCACCCCGGCCCATTCGGAGGCCAGGACAAAAGCCTTTCCTCGGCGCCTTGTTCAAAGAGGTGATTGTCCCGAGCTGGGCAGCTGTGGCGTGGGAGTGCCATCCCAGGGCAGAGGCCACTGTGCAGGGGCCGTGTGGGCACCACGGGGACACCCTCCCCACCTCCACGTCCAGTGCTAGTGGGGGCCTGGACGCAGCTCCAGGTGGGGATTTCTCTCCGCTTCTTACACAAGCGTGTCGCTGCGTGATGAGCCCTGACGGTCACATGGGGGCTTCACGTGTCTGGGGCCCCCACAGCCCCGGTGGCCATGGCAGGGCTGCCAGTGGACGAGCCCTTCGGGAGACCACGCAGCTGAGTGCAGCCTGGGCAGACGGGTCCTGCTTTTGTTGGCTGGAGCCTCTACCCGATGCCTTGTGGTCACACGAAGGCCAGTGGGCCAGGCGGCCACCAGCGGCAAGGACAAGTAGATTCTGTACAGGAAGAAGGAAGCAAAACAGACTGAGCCTGGCCTCGGTGTGGCGGCCCCTGTCAGAGTTCGTCCTGACCTCTGAAAGCATAAGATGCACGGAAAGCTCTCTCGCTTTGACTTGTAGTCTAGGATACTACGCATCAGATCGGTCGAGAAAATGGCACCGTCTCGGTGCCACGGGCTCTCTGGAGACACCAAGACTTGCCCGCATATGGATTTTGCCAGGCTCCTGCAGGCAGCCTTGGTGTGTGCACCTCGTGTGGCCATGTGGCCCAGGGCATGCGCCCCCGCTCTGTCCTGTGGGTTGGGGACGTCCCCGCCGCCCCCTTGAGCCTCCCGTAAGCAGCCGTGCTGGTCCGCATGGAACAGCATGCAGGGAGGACTACCCCTGCTCTGTGCTCCCTTCACCCCCCCCTCCCCAAGTTGTGGGGACAAGTGTCCTTTGTCTCAGTTGGGCAGCACCAGGACCCAGCGCAGCTCGCTCTGCGGTCCTTAGAGAGATTCTCTTCGCTCTCCCAAGTCCCCAGCGAGCTGCTGGCCTTCACACACGCCTCCCCACCACCGGGCCAGGTCAAGAGGGGTCCTGAGCTGAGCCCAGGGTGCCTGTTTCTCCCAGAACGCTCCCATGGGGTGCGGGAGCCATGACCTGTCCCTCTGGTTTCATTTTGTACCCCCTCGTGTTTGGAAGGTGCTGGAGTGGGAGGGGAGCCCCCTTGTAGGCCCGGCTCATGCTGGCAGCAGGTGCCCAAGGCTGGTGTGTCTTAAACAGATTCCTTGGCCCGAGTTCCACATGGCGATGGAGTTAGCTCCATGGTGGTTCCTGTTCGCTACACTTGAGATTGCTCACTGAGACCCAGGTCCCCCTCAGACGTCCACCCAGACAGATGTTCCCCCTGGGTCTCCTTGGCTTGCCCCAGAATCTTCCCCCGTGACTCCAAAGGAGCCTGTGGTCTTTGAGCCCAGGGGAGCCCAGGCGCCTTCGTGGGTTCGTGGTCCGCCCAGGGAGTAGGGAGGGAGCTCTGGGGTCCCCCAGACCTGATGGATGTGGGTAAGGGGGAGCACTGTCCCCCAGTGTGGGACAGGCCACGGTGCCCGCCCACCAAATCACCCTCCCATCCTCACAGGTATCCGCCCCCAGATCATGAACGGCCCCCTGCACCCCCGCCCCCTGGTGGCGCTGCTCGATGGCAGAGACTGCACCGTGGAGATGCCAATCCTGAAGGACCTGGCCACTGTGGCCTTCTGTGACGCACAGTCCACTCAGGAGATCCACGAGAAGGTGGGCCCCACCCCCCACCCCGAGGCCGGGGTCACCCCAGGTCAGGTGGCTGCCATTCAGCAAGGGGTCCCTCAGGTCTCCCCGGGCTGGGCCCTCTCACCCCCCGCCCCACCCTCCCTGTCTGCGCCCCCCGTCACCCAGAGTCACAGGCAGACCCCGAAGCACAACCACGGGCCACTCGCCTGAGGGAGCGGTCGCGCCCACCCCGCGTCCTCTGCGGCGGGTGCAGGGGTGATGGGGCTGGGGCGAGGGCTCCAGCTTGCTCTGCTCACCCCATCGCAGGTTCTAAATGAAGCCGTTGGCGCCATGATGTACCACACCATCACCCTCACCAGGGAGGACCTGGAGAAGTTCAAGGCCCTGAGAGTGATCGTGCGGATAGGCAGCGGCTACGACAACGTTGACATCAAGGCTGCTGGCGAGCTCGGTGAGTGCGCGGGGCCGCGGGGCGGCTGTGCGGGGAGCCGAGGTGGGCACAGCTCCAAATACCCAGGCAGGAGTGAGCCTGCTGGGCCCTGAGCCCCCGCCCCGGTCCCTGTGCTGGCTGGACCGGGCTGTCTCACTTGGGAAGGACCTGAATGAAGCCCACGAGCCAGGGGCCCGTCCCTGCAGAGGGGACCCTGTGAGTGGCCACAGGTCAGTGTTAGCCAGTCAGGACCCACCACCCAGAAATGCCAATGCTGGGTGCACAGCTCGGGGCTCGGGAAGGGGGTGCGTCGGGCATCTCTAGGTCTCCTCCAGTCCCGGCATGGAGACCTCCTCCCAAGGGCTACTGTCCACCCAGAAACCTGCCGAGGTCAGCGCCAACAGGGTGGACCGAGGCCCAGCACCTCCTGCCCAGCCCTTGTCAGAGGGGCAGGGGTTCCAGAGAAAAGCAGGGGCAGCAGATGGACACCCACAGGCAGTTGCCCAGCGGTAGGGCCATGGCACTGTGCCCACCCCCCGCCCCAGCACCTGCTGTGGACTCCATGTGCGAGGAGTGTCCACAGAGCATTGATGGCAAGCGACCCTGGGCTGGCCTGCTCGCTCCGTGAGGGCCCAAGGTCCTTCAAAATGAGCTCCTGTGCTCACTGTCCTTGATCTGTGTGTGCGATGTGCCAGGTCGGCTCCCAGGTGCGTGGGCCCGTGCCCCACCTGAGTACTGGGGTGCCCCAGGGCTGCTAGCGGGTATCTAGGAACTCAGACCTCTACGGGCCCCCAACCTTTGGCTGTGCTGAGGCCCTGGTGGGCTCTGTGGGCCAGTGGTCCATCTCCCTTCCTGCCCCAAGTCAGCCTCCCCGCCCCCACCGAGGACCCGGTGGGCCCTGGCGCTCCAGGGGCGGGCTGAGCCGGCGTCCTACCTAAGCGTGCACGCCGTGGCCTCAGGCACTTCTGGCCTCCGCTTCCTCCTCCAAGGTCCTAGCCTGGGGTTTTGAGTAAAGGTCCATGGTTTCTTCAAGGGCTTAGTTCCCTCACTTGAATTGGGGGCAGGTGCTGGGTAGAGGGAGCCTGGCTGGTGCTGAGTCTGGTGCTTCTTCATGGTGGTCCAGGGCGCTTTGAGCGTGTGGATACGGCAAGTGGGGTCGCCCCACAGGTGAACCCCAAAGGAAGAGGCAAGAGATGGTCATTCCCCAACAAGATGCCTTCTTCCCCTCCCCCATCCTGGAAGTGAGGGGCTGGGTGGCAAGTGGCTTGGAAGATCGACCCTATGCAAGAGGAAAAGGGGCGGCATCAGAACCCAGACTCGTTACAGGGTCTGGAGGAAGTGATGGCTTCCTGTGTCTGCCCTGAGCGCTCGCTTCTGGCCTCGGGGTCCCCCTGAGCCCGTCTTGGTTGCAACAAAGAAACTTGGGTGGACAGGGGTCCTCATAAGCATGTTTAGCATTACCTCAAATTTTCCATCTTTCCTGGGCACCAACAAGAATATTTTTGTTTGAAAACAAATGTTCTTTGTGCTCTTGGTAGAGTTGAAATCCCAAGTTCAAACAGCGATGGAGAATATAGTTTTAACACACTGAGAGGGGGGCGGGGGGGGGCGGTCCTCAAATGCTTCCCTGCACCCGTCTCCTCATCTCTGTGTGTCCGCCCCTTGCAGCCCAGGCTCTGGTGAGGTGTTCGTGTTGAGTTTCCTTGATGGGAACCAGGGAACTTCTTTCCAGGGAGAGATGGGAAGGTCTCCCAAGCAAAACTTGCCATCCCTCCATTTGCAGAAGCTCCCCACACAGCTGGCCTGGGCCAGGAGGGGGACCTCGTTTCCCTAAAACCAAAGGTGCCCCGCTCCCCCAGCTGCACGGCTGCCCTTGGCTAGGGGGCCCAGGCGGAGGAGATGCTGTTCCCAGGGGCCTGCCATTTTGAACAATGGAAACGTCAGCTTCCATTCCAGTCAGTTTCCATTGATCCTGGTGCGTGTGGAATTTGGAGAAGGAAAATGGGCCTCTGTCCTGTCTCCAGATTGCACTCCGCAGGTGATTCTGTCCCCAGACTTCATGCAAATGAGAACAGTGGCTGTAGGTGCTGCTTGTCTCCGGGGCCTGCAGTGTGGCCTTCCTGGGAGGATGCTCCCTTCCCAGTGCTCACAGGAGCCTTTGCATGAAGATGGCGGGCCCGAGGCGATGCTTGGGGTGAGAGCAGGGCGAGCTCAGGAAACAACTGTGTCACCTGCCTGGAGGAGTTAGAGGGATTCGGCCTCTGCAGTGTCTCCCCAAGGACCAGGGAGCCAGGGGGAAGTCGGGGGAGGTGGGAGGTTGCTGGGGGCCTCTCACCTTGTGAGCCTCTCTAGCAAGCTCCTTTATCTGGCTTCCAGTTCAGAAGGGGTGACAGCAAAGAGTAAAACCATTGACGGGAAGAGCAGCTCAGCCACAGGGCTCGGGCCTTGGGGTGAGGCGGCCGCGACTCTTGCCCTGCAGGTGCTAGAAGCTTCTCATCATGGCCTTTAGAGAATCGCCCTGATGCAGACCATGACCTCAAGAATGGTTTCAAAAGAGTCCCACGGCAGGAGGGTCATCAGGGCTTTGGGGTTTCAGAGGAAGGTGCCATTGTCCTTGGGGCAGGACGGTCCCCGGTGCTTCCAGCAGCCCCTCCTCCAGGTTTCAGTCTCGGGCCCCTTTCAGTCTCTGCAGCCGAGCAGCCAACATGTCAGAGTTCAGGGGTGCAGGCTGAGCAGTGTCCCTTTGCACACACACCCCCCCCTCTGGGGGTGGGCAGATGTGATGCTCTGTGTCACACGGACCCGCGTGGGGACCCCCTCCTCCAGCACGTCCCCTCCGGTCTTGGCTCCCAGGGCACAGCTGGTCCCAGGCCCGGGGGGTTGGCTGGGTAGTGGCCGAGGGTCCACTGCCGGACCCTCCTGCTGGGCTCTGGCCAGAACACCTCCGGTTCCTCAGAGGATTGGAAACCATCACAAAACCCTGGCTTCTGGCGCAGCCCAAATTCTAGGCTGGCCTGTTTTGCGTGGAGCGGGCTCCATTGTGGCTGTTTGCAGAACTAACTTCCAGCTCATGGAAGTTTCGGCAGCCTAGATCTGTCGGACACTTTGTCCCCCGGCAGGTGGCTGGGACCAGGTGGGACGATGTGCTCATGGGGGCTTTCCCTCTGAGCTGGCTGTCCTCCTGAGGGGGGTCACAGAGACCCTGGACCTCAGGGCAGCCCTTGTGGGGTGGTCACACAGCTACTAGAAAGGAGGTGCTCAGCATGGGGGGTCCTGTGGTCCTGTGTTCCCTCCAGTGAGCCACATAGGCTCTGGTGCTCTTGTCCCCACTGCCAGGCTTGAGAAGGTAGAGAAAGGCAGGGCTGCCTTCTTGGAGGCCCTGCCCCTTGTGTTCCTTGGGTCCCATACCTGGGATTAAAAGGTGGTTTTCTGAGCTCGTCTGACTGGTGCCTGGATACCTATGTCCGTCAGAAAGCTGCTTGCCTGACAGGCCCCGTGTTCTCTGCCACAGCCCAGCCGGGCCCCCTGTTCCTGCACCCCTCCCACGTCTGGCAGACATTTGCGTTCTTCCCCCAAACACCCTCCTACCAAGGAAGGTCAGTGCCTAGCTCTGCCTGCTGGAGACGTGGGGTGGTTCTTCCAGCAGCCCCTTGGCCCCAGAGCCTGGGGGCCAGCGCTTACCAGCTGCCCCCCTAGCCCTAAATGCTCTTCCAGAAAGCAGGGCAGTTCCCCCTGTCCGCTTGGTGTTCTTTTTGCCTGAGTAGGATCGTGGGCAGGGCCCACTGCACGGGCGTGGGGCTCAATTCAGGCATCAGCTCCGTCCTGGCCCCACCCGGGCCCGTGTTGAGGGGGAGGTGTTGGTTCCTAATTCTTCCATCTTGCCCTTTTTCAAAACGAGTGTTCACATGTTCATCACAAGAGACTTAAAATACTGTAAACAAGAAGCCAATCTCCGTGCCCCCAGCCCAGCCCCAGGAGGAAGGTCCGGAGGGTTCGCTGTGAGGAGTCTGGTCTTCTGGACACGACCCTGGGGCGGGGGGTGGTCTCTGCATGCTGGTTTCCTGCTGTCCACGGCGGACGCGGGCAGGCTCCCAGCCTCTTGGCTGCTCACCCCTCCAGCTGCCCACTGCTTGCTTCCCGGAACACAGGGTCCAGAAGCAAAGGGTGGGCGGGATGTGGGGTGAGTGGGGGCCCGGGGGTGCGGTGAGCCTGGGATGGATGTGGGGGCTGGAGGCCCCTGAGCATCGGAGCCCGAGGGTCCATGTCTCCCAGGTGACGGGCAGGCCTCAGAGCCTGACCTGATGGGACCACACGCCGAGTCCGTGACTGAAGCGCCAGCTCCGCCTCCCTGCCCCTCAGCTGGGCGCTCGGGGAGCCTCGGGGGTCCTCACCCGGGGGCCGGGCCCTGTCCTCCCCAGGCATCGCCGTGTGCAACATCCCGTCCGCGGCCGTGGAAGAGACGGCCGACTCCACCATCTGCCACATCCTCAACCTGTACCGGCGGAACACGTGGCTGTACCAGGCGCTGCGGGAGGGCACGCGGGTCCAGAGCGTCGAGCAGATCCGGGAGGTGGCCTCGGGAGCAGCCCGCATCCGCGGGGAGACGCTGGGCCTCATCGGCTTCGGTAGGTGCAGCTGCCCAGCCCGCCCCCCACCCACCGGAGCTGGCGCGGGGACCCCCACCCCCACCCCCACCCCCACCCCGGCGAGGAAGAGCCCGGAACGGCCGGTGCCCTGGGAGCTGGCCTTCCCTGTCCACCGGGGGAGCCAGAGGCCGACAAGGCAACTGCCGCCTCTGGGAGTGGGTCTGCAGGGCTGGGTGGGGAGCAGGCGGCGCAGGGGACAGTCTCCGCCGCTGGGCAAAGGAGGGGCTGTGTGCCCGCCGATTGCCCTGGGCGGGGGCTGCTGGAGTTGCCTTGTGGAGAAACCAGCAGGCTTGGGGCTCGAATGGGGGCTGGTGGCTGAGCCGAGATCTGGGCCATGATCAAGGCCCAGCCCCTGGAGACCCTCGAATGCCAGGCCAAGGTGGCAGCAGGGAGTCCCTGAAGGATTTTGAGCCGGAAGGTGGCATGGCCAGGTCATCAGCTTAGAACGCGGCCCTATGAGCGTCCTAGGCGGGTTACCAAGGACACGGTGAGCTGTGACGGAAAGCAGCCTGATGACGTGGTCTTCAAAGCACACGGGCTCAGGGGGGGCTTGCTTTACTGCTGAGTCTCAGCCCCGCCACTCGGCCATTCCATGACCTTGAGGAAATTCGCTGACCTCTCTGCTTGGGTGTCCCACTCTGTAGCTCGGGAAGGGCGTGATAACACATGGCTGCCTCTTAGGGCTCAGAGAAGGCACGAGAAGTAGGTGGGGTGGGTAGCAGGTGCTGGGCCTGGCTTCCAGAGGGCTCCCCAAGCTGTCACTCGACCCGTAGCTCAGAGCTGTTTCCAGAAAGCCAAGGGTCAGGACGCCTGGGATGGCCTCTGGGTGCCAGCCTGAACAAGGTAGAGGGAGCTGGGTTTCTTCGGGGAGGGCGCATCTAACTCCCCAGGGTGATTCAAGAACGCAGGTGTTAGGGGTGATCACACTCTCGAAGGCATTCCTCTCAACGATTTACGAAGGAGTCCTCTTCACTTTTTCTTGAGTGGACGCTACGAGTGACCATAGGCAACGCGGGGCGTCGTGTGGGGGCCGCAGCGCCCTCTGCTGGTGCCCGGGGCCTCCCGTGGCTCTGCGCAGTGGCCCTTGGAGATGCTGCTTAGAACATGGCACGTGTTCTTACCCCTGCAGCGGCTGAGCCCTCTGCCGTCCTTTGCAGTCCCGTGGTTTGAGCCCCGTTCACTTGAGACTAAGCCAGCACCGCCTCAGCCCCTGCTCCCCGTGCTCTCTGACGGTGAGGTCGCCTTGCTGCCTTTCAGGTCTGTCTATAGCCTTCCCAAGTGCAGACAGGACTCCGGACGGGAGGAGGCCTAGTCGGAGGCTGCCTGATGCCTCCCCCCGAAAGCGTTCGGTTGCCTGAGGCTTCGCTGAGAAGCAGCACCCAGAGTGGGGGGCGGCCCAGCCCTGAGCGTGGCCCCAGCCCGGGCTGGTGGTGGGATGGTGCTTGCGGACAGCCAGCCAGTAGCAACAATATATATATATATTTTATATTTTTCAGGCCAAGACAATTGGCTTCTGCAAGGCTCAGTTTTGATCAAGTCAGTAACGGCATTAAGTCACTAGGTCTTGTAGAAACTTAGGACAACCTCATGGCTAACGGAGAAGCTAGTGAAAACATGAGGGTTAGGGGACTGATGAAAAGGAAAAACTGGAAAATCACGCTCGGGCCCGGCAGCCACAGCCGGGAAGCCCCATCTCCAGGCAAAGTGCGTTAGGACGCGGAAGTGAGGGGGGGCGTTCTTGTGTGGGCTGAGAGCATGGGGTCGTGTGTCCCATGCTTCAGGGACGTCAGGGGTGTCGTAGGCCCCTGGCGCTCTTCTCCAGCTTGTCACCTTTGTTGTGCCCGCTGGGGTGTGTGGCTACAGTTCCCAGTTCGCTGCATCCAAGTGGTGACACCGAGGAGGGAGGACAGGAGGGATAAGCACGCACCCGTTGCCCTGCAGCTGGCCCTCCAGCCCGCAGAAGTGGGGGACAGTCCACCTCCACGTTGCCCTCGTGTGGGCTTCCCGTTTGGGAAGGGACACCTTCCCTTGTCTCCTCCTCCTTCCCCGGCCCCGTTGAGCAGTGGTTTCAGACAAAGACGATTCTGCACACTTCCCAGAGGAGCCCATTCAAGCATCACGCAAACCACTTTGTTTTCAAGCCGAAAACAGCTCTGGGAAGCTGGAGGCGCTAGCCGTGGGGTTCCGTGGGCTTGTGCAAATGACAGCCACTTCGGAGACAGGGAGGCCGTCCGGTCCTGTTAGGTGGTGTGGGCCACTAACCTGCTAGAGGGAGGGGCCTGGGGCTCCCCCAGCAGGTCAGAACCAGTCTGCATACCTGACCGGTACGTGGCTCCCCCTCCCCATCAAAGTGAGTCTCCCGCTCTGCAGGGGCCCCTTCCAATCCCTGTGCCCCTTCCGTGAGCAAACCCTGTGCTAATTGGCAAGAGAATGTTCTCTGTTACTGCCCTCGCTGTCTCAAGAAAGGACGCTCAGGTTAAGAAGCCTGCTGTGTACCCAGAAACCTCGGGGAGAGAGAAATGAGGATGGGAGACTGTGGTGCTGGCTGGAACTGGGGGAGGGGCACATGGCATTCACTAGAACATTCTCTGTAGCTGTATGTTTGAGAAGGTCCATCCCAGGAGCTTTAGCGCGCGCGCACACACGCACACACGC